GGGCTTCCCTGAGGGGGCGGGGCCTGGGGGGGCGGGGCCGAGCAGCACCTGAGAGGCCCAAATTTGGGCGGTTTTGGGGAAATTTGGGGTAAAAAACAAAGGTGGGGCACAATTTTGGGGATGGTGACGTCATCAGCCCTCAAATTTGGGGGGATTTGGGAAAATCTGGGTGAAAAAAGGAAGTAGGGCGCCATCTTGGGGGTGATGACGTCATCAACGCCCGAATTTGGGCGATTTTGGGGAAATTTGGGGTAAAAATGAGGATAGAGTGACCTTGTGGGGCTGATGACGTCATCAGACCCCAAATTTGGGGGAATTTGGGAAAATCTGGGGTAAAAACAAGGGTGGAGCACCATCTTGAGGATGATGACGTCATCAGGACCCAAATCCGGGAAATTTTGGGGGAATTTGGGGTGAAAAACGAAGGCAGGGCGCCACTGCAGAGCTTATGACGTCATCAGGACCCGAATTTGGGCGGTTTTGGGGGAATTTGGGTAAAAAGGAGGGCGGGGCGCCGTCCTGGGGCTGGTGACGTCATCAGCCCCCGAACCGGGGCGGTTCCAGGTCGGTTTTGGGGCAATTTTGGGACATTTTGGGTCAGCACCTGATTAAAACCAGGCGGCGCCATCTCGGCTTCGATGACGTCATCACCGCCAGACTCCGAGCCATTTTTGAGCCGATTTCAGCCGATTTTGGGCCGATTTTAAGAGAATTTTGACCCAACCCCAGCTCAGTCAAACACTGGCTCGTTCCAAAGCGATTTTGGGCTAAATTGAGGTAAAATTGGGTCAAAAACAAATCCAATTAAAAGCGTTTAGCTTCGAGTGATTTTGAGCGAATTTGAGCAAATTTTGGGCAAAATTGAGCCAATTTTGGGCCGAAACACGTCCAATTAAAAGCGGTTAATGTCATGAACTGGAACTTTAATTTTAAGCGAATTTAAGCCAATTTTGAGTGAATTTCAGCCAATTTTGAGTGAATTTGAGCCAATTTTGAGCGAATTGGAGCAAATTTTGGGCGAAATTGAGCCAATTTTGGGCCAAAACCCATCCAATTAAAAGCCGTTAATGCCATGAACTCGAACTTGGATTCTGAGCAAATTTCAGCCAATTTTGGTCCAAATTGGGCCAATTTTGGGCCAAAACCCATCCAATTAAAGGCCATTAATACCATGGAAGTCGAACTTGGATTCTGAGCAAATTTCAGCCAATTTTGGTCCAAATTGGGCCCATTTTGGACCAAAACCCATCCAATTAAAAGTGGTCAACACCATCAAACTCAAACTTCGGTTTCGAGCACATTTAAGCCAATTTTGAGTAAATTTAGGCCAATTTTGACCAAATTTGAGCCAATTTTGGACCAAAACCCATCCAATTAAAAGTGGTCAACACCATCAAACTCAAACTTCTGTTTCGAGCACATTTAAGCCAATTTTGAGTAAATTTAGGCCAATTTTGACCAAATTTGAGCCAATTTTGGACCAAAACCCATCCAATTAAAAGCAGCTAATGCCATGAACTGGAACTTTAATTTTAAGCGAATTTAAGCCAATTTTGAACGAATTTGAGCAAATTTTGGGCAAAATCGAACGAATTTTGGGCCAAAACCCGTTGAATTAAAAGCGGTTAATACAATAAAACTCGAACTTTGATTTCGAGTGAATTTAGGCCGATTTTGACCAAATTTGAGCCGATTTTGTACCGAAACCCATCCAACTAAAAACGGTTGACACCATCGAACTTGAACTTCGGTTTTAAGTGAATTTGAGCCAATTTTGAGCAAATTCAAGACAACTTTGGGCCAAAACATGTCAAATTAAAACCGAACGACGTCATCAATCTCCAGCTTCGATTCTAAGCAAATTTGAGCCAATTTTGAGCAAATTTGAGCCAATTTTGGACCAAAACCCATCCAATTAAAAGCGGCTAATGCCATGAACTGGAACTTTAATTTTAAGCGAATTTAAGACAATTTTGAGCGAATTTCAGCCAATTTTGGTCCAAATTGGGCCCATTTTGGACCAAAATCCATCCAATTAAAGGCCATTAATACCATGGAAGTCGAACTTGGATTCTGAGCCAATTTTGGTCCAAATTGGGCCCATTTTGGACCAAAATCCATCCAATTAAAGGCCATTAATACCAAGGGACTGGGAGAGGACTGGGAGGGACTGGGAGCGACTGGGAGGGATTGGGAGTGGATTGGGAGGGACTGGGAGGGGATTGGGAGGGACTGGGAGCAACTGGGAGGGGATTCAGAGGAATTGGGAGGGACTGGGAGGGATTGGGAGTGGATTGGGAGGGATTGGAAGGGACTGGGAGAGGACTGGGAGGGACTGGGAGCAACTGGGAGACAGCTGGAGTGGATTGGGAGGGAGTGGGAGGGGATTGTGAGGGACTGGGAGGGGACTGGGAGCAATGGAGAGACAGCTGGAGTGGATTGGGAAAGGGCTGGATGGGACTGGGAGGGACTGGAAAGGATTGGGAGGGACTGGGAGGGGATTGGGATGGACCAGGAGGGGATTGAGGGGGACTGGAATGGACTGGGAGGGACTGGGACGGGGACTGAGCAGACTGGGAAAGGTTTGGAACGGCTTGGGGGTGATTTTGGGGCTGGTTGTTGTGATTTTGGGGCTGCTTGGAGTGACCTTGGGGCTGTTTGGGGTGATTTTGGGGAATTTTGGGGCTGTTTGGGATGATTTTGGGGCTGTTTGGGGTGATTTTGGGTAGTTTTGGGGCTGTTTGGGGTGTTTTTGAGGCAGTTTGGGGCGTTTTCGGGGCAGTTTTGGTGCAATTTCAAGCCAATTTTGGGCCGACAAATTTGTGTAATTCCTGGACAATTCCGGGGCTGTTTTTGAGGTGATTTTGAGGCAGTTTGAGGTGATTTTGGGGTGGTTTGGGGCGGCTTGGGGTGATTTTTGGGTGGTTTTAGGTGATTTTGGGGCAGTTTGGAGTGATTTGGGGGCAGTTTTGGGGCGATTTCAGGCCGATTTTGGACCGACAAATTTGTGCAATTCCAGGACAATCCCGGGGCTGTTTTTGGGGTGATTTTGAGGCAGTTTGAGATGATTTTGGGGTGGTTTGGGGCGGCTTGGGGTGATTTTTGGGTGGTTTGGGGTGATTTTGGGGCAGTTTGGGGTAATTTTGGTGTGATTTTGTGGTGGTTTGGGGTGATTTTGGGGCAGTTTTTTGTGATTTCAAGCCGATTTTGGGCCGATAGATTTAGCTAATTTCGTGGCCGTTTTTGGGGCGATTTTTGGGCGGTTCGGGGCTCTCACCGATGCCGTAGGTGACGTCCAGAGGCTCGGTCTTGGCCAGCAGCCCCACGCCGCTGTAGCCCGGCCGGTCCTTGGCGCTGGACCAGAACTGGTGCGGCAGCCCCGGCAGCGCCCGCACCTCGGGGGGCACGGCCGACACGGCACACTTGGTCTCCTGCAGGCACAGCACGTCCGGGGCCTCCTCCTGCACCCACTGCGGGCCAAAAACACGAAAAAACAGTGAAAAATCCCATCAAAATTAACCCAAAATGGAAAAAGCGCTACTGAAATACCCCAAATCGGTGAAAAACAGCCCAAAAACAGTTAAAAAACCCGTAAAAACACCCTGACACGGCACACTTGGTCTCCTGCAGGCACAGCACGTCCGGGGCCTCCTCCTGCACCCACTGGGGAGCAAAAACACCCAAAATCGGTGAAAAACTGTTAAAAAATATTAAAAAACGACGAAAAACTTACCAAAACCACCTAAAACCAGCAAAAAAGGGTCCAAAATAACCTCCAAAACACCCCAAAACACTGAAAAACCCTTCCTGTACCCGCTGGTGAAACAACATCCCAAAACAGTGAAAAACTGTATTAAAAAACCCAAAATCGGTGAAAAACTGTTAAAAAATATTAAAAAACTATGAAAAACTTAACAAAACCACCTAAAACCAGCAAAACACGGCCCAAAATAACCCCAAAAACACCCCAAAGCACTGAAAAACCCTTCCTGCATCCACTTGAGAACAAAATATACAAATTGGTGAAAAACTATACGAAAATACCCAAAACTGGTGAAAAACTACATTAAAATATCAAAAACCAGTGAAAAACTGGACTAAAACACCCAAAACTGGTGAAAAATGTCCCAAAATCAACCCAAAACCACCCCAAAACACTGAAAATCCCTTCCTGTACCCACTGGAGACAAAAAATACAGAAAAACGGTGAAAAACTGACCAAAAATGACAAAAAATGATGAAAAAGTATAAAAATTATGAAAAAATGGTGGAAAACTGTAGAGAAATGCCTAAAAATGGTGAAAAGCTGCCCCAAAATAAACCCAAAATGGTGAAAAATTCTCCACCTAATGGGGATCCCAAAAATCCCTGAATATGGTAAAAAATGGGCAAAATTACCACAAAATGGTCAAAAACCCTCCGAAATTAACATAAAATGATAATAAAATCTCAAAAATTAGCCCAGAAAGATAGGAAATTGTCAATAATTAACCCAAAATGGTAAAAAACTTGTCAGAAATCAATGCAAAATGGTAAAAAAGTCTCAAAAACTTATATAAAATTATAAAAAATAGTCTAAAATTAACCCAAAATGGTAAAAAAACCCCTCCAAAACCAGAGATTGGCCCCTCCCACACCCCCACAAGCCCCGCCCCTCTCACCTGGGCCCCGCCCTTGCGCAGCCACGCCCTCAGCCCGTCCACGTTCCATGACGTCACCTTGAGCGTCCAGCGCCGCCCATCGGGCGTGGCCTCGCGGGTGGGCGGGTCCTCGTAGGGCGGGGCCGGCGACGCCTTGGGAGCCTTGGCGGGGGCGGGGCCTGCGGGGATGGCGGTTTGTACTGGTTTATACTGGTCTTTATTGATTTATACTGGTTTATTTTGTTTTATTTTGGTCACTCACCGGCCTCGTCCCCGCTCCCGTTCTCCTCCTTCTTCTTCCCGCGCTTCGGCATGGCGCTGGCCCCGCCCCTTCCGCCGCTGGACACGCCCCTCCGGCCTTCAAGCCTCGCCCCTGGAGCCAATCAGAGCGCGCCCTGGTTTAACACCCGCCTCCCCCTCACAGCCCAGCCAATCAGAGCGCGCCTCCCCTCACGCAGCGGCAGCCAATCAGCGCCGCCGCCGCCACGTGCGGCCCTGGGGGCGGGACCGGGGCCCGAACCGGCTCCGAACCGAGTCCGAACGGGCCCGAAGCGGCACCGGGAGCGATCGGCTCCGAACGGACCCGAACCGGGAGCGATCGGCTCCGAACGGACCCGAACCGGCTCCGAACGGACCCGATCCCGCCCTCTGCGCTCCCCCTCACCCCCGCCGGCTGCCAATCATCTCCCGCAGTGTCCAATCAGCGCCCGCCCTTCTCCCGGTTAAACCCGCCCCCCTCCTCCTCAGCGCTCTGCCGCCCGCCAATCAGAGCGCGCCGTGCCTCAGCGCGCGGGGCCAATCAGAGCGCGCCGTGCCTCAGTGCGCGGGGCCAATCAGAGCGCGCCGTGCCTCAGCCAACGGGGCAAATAAGAGCCCGCCGTGCCTCAGGAGCGGGGCCAATCAGGGCTCGCCGTGCCTCAGCGCGCGGAGCCAATCAGAGCGCGGAGTACCTCAGACCGCGGGGCCAATCAGGGCTCGCCGTGCCTCAGCGCGCGGGGCCAATCAGAGCGCGCCGTGCCTCAGGCGCGGGACCAATCAGGGCTCGCCGTGCCTCAGGCGCGGGGCCAATCAGGGCTCGCCGTGCCTCAGACCGCGGGGCCAATCAGGGCTCGCCGTGCCTCGGCGTGCGGAGCCAATCAGAGCGCGCCGTGCCTCAGGCGCGGGACCAATCAGCGGCGGCGGCGGCAGCGGCGCGAGCGGCTCCGCGCGCGGGAAGCGTGAGAGGGATGCTCGGCGGAGGGGGCGTGGCCGGAACCGGAAACGCTCTCGGAGGCGGCTAAGGCGGGAAGCGGAAGTGACGCAGCGGAGCGGCGGGGGCAGCGGCGCGAGCGGCTCTGCGCGCGGGAAGCGTGAGGGGGATGCTCGGCGGAGGGGGCGTGGCCGGAACCGGAAACGCTCACGGAGGAGGAGGATAAGGCGGGAAGCGGAAGTGACGCAGCGGAGCGGCGGGAGCAGCGCCGTGAGGGAGCGGCGGAGCCGAGCGGCGGCGTGACGTCACCCCGCGGGCCAGCGCCACCGGCGTGACGTCATGCCGACCGTGCTGGGCCTGGAGGGCTCCGCCAACAAGGTGGGGGCGGGGGTGGTGCGCGACGGCGCCGTCCTCAGCAACCGCCGCGCCACCTACGTCACGCCGCCGGGACACGGTGACGTCACTGCCCGTCCCCCTCCGCCGTTCCCGCTGCCGGTGCCCCGGTGCTGACGTCATTCCCCCCGCAGGGTTCGCCCCCGGGCCCACCGGGCGGCACCACCGGGCGGCGCTGCTGGGGCTGGTGCGGGCGGCGCTGAGCGAGGCCGGGCTGGGCCCGGAGGACATCGACGGCGTGGCCTTCACCAAGGGTAGGGACCGGGAACGGGAACCGGGAACGGCACCGGGACCCCACAGACCCCATAGGTCTGGGTTTTGGGGTTCCCATTGGCGTTTTTGGGGTTCCCGTTGGGGTTTGGGGGACATTTTAGGGGCTCTGGCCTCTCCCACTCCCCCCGGGGGGGGGGTTTGGACCTTCCCATTCACTTTGGGGTGGGTTTGGGATATTTCAGACCCTCCCACTCTTCTGGGGGCGTGGTCCTGGACCCTCCCATTCATCCTGGGGGTGGTTTTTGGGGGGCTTTGGGGTGGGTTTTGGAGTTTTTGGGGTATTTTGGACCCTCCCATTGCCCCCTGGGGGATTCCCGGACCCTCCCACTGACCCTGGGGGTGGGTTTTGGGGATTTTTGGTGTGGTTTTGGTGTGGGCTTTGGGTGGTTTTGGGGGTTTTTGAGCGTTTTTGTGGTGGATTTTGGGGTTTTCGGGGTGGATTTTGGGGTTTTCGGGGTGGATTTTGGGGTTTTCGGGGTGGATTTTGTGGTTTTTTGGGGTCCTGGACCCTCCTACTCCCCCCTGGGGGGGTCCCGGACTCTCCCACTGACCCCGGGGGTGGATTTTGAGCATTTTGGGGTTTTTGGGGTGGTTTTGAGGGGTTTTTTGGGTGGATTTTGGGCTTTCAGACCCTCCCACTCCTCTGGGGGGTGTCCTGGACTCTCCCATTCACTGTGGGGACGGATTTTGGGGGTTTTGGGGCGGTTTTTGGGGGGATTTTGGGGCGGTTTTTGTGGTTTTTGATGTCCTGGACCCTCCCATTCACTTTGGGGGTGGATTTTGGGGGTTTTGGGGCGGTTTTCCGGGGGATTTTGGTGTATTTTGGGGGGACTTTGGGGTTTTCGGGGTGGATTTTGTGTTTTTTGGGGTCCTGGACCCTCCTACTCCCCCCTGGGGGGGTCCCGGACTCTCCCACTGTACCCGGGCGTGGATTTTGGGGGGATTTTTGGGTATTTTGGGGTTTTCGGGGTGGTTTTGGGGGGTTTTTGGGGTGGATTTTGGGCTTTCAGACCCTCCCACTCCTCTGGGGGGTGTCCTGGACTCTCCCATTCACTGTGGGGACGGATTTTGGGGGTTTTGGAGCATTTGGGGTTTTCGGGGTGGATTTTGTGGTTTTTTGGGGTCCTGGACCCTCCTACTCCCCCCTGGGGGGGTCCCGGACTCTCCCACTGACCCCGGGGGTGGATTTTGAGCATTTTGGGGTTTTTGGGGTGGTTTTGAGGGGTTTTTTGGGTGGATTTTGGGCTTTCAGACCCTCCCACTCCTCTGGGGGGTGTCCTGGACTCTCCCATTCACTGTGGGGATGGATTTTGGGTGTTTTGGAGCAGTTCTTGGGGGGATTTTGGGGTGGTTTTTGTGGTTTTTGATGTCCTGGACCCTCCCGTTCACTTTGGGGGTGGATTTTGGGGGTTTTGGGGCGGTTTTTGGGGGGATTTTGGGGTGTTTTTGGGTTATATTGGGCGGGCTTTGGGGTTTTCGGGGTGGATTTTTCAGTTTTTGGGGTTTTCGGGGGTCCCGGCCCCTCCCATTCACCCCCGTGGGGGTGTTCCCCCCCCAGGCCCGGGCATGGGCTCCCCCCTGGCGGTGGTGGCGGCCGTGGCGCGGACGCTGGCGCAGCTCTGGGGGCGCCCCCTGCTGGCCGTCAACCACTGCGTGGGGCACATCGAGATGGGGCGCGCCCTCGGCCCCGCCCCCGACCCCCTCGTGCTCTACGTCAGCGGCGGCAACACCCAGGTGGGGGCGGGACCCATGTCGCGACGTATCGCGACGGCGGGGGGCGATATCGCGGGGTATCGCGGTGATAGAGGGACAAAATGGCGGCTATCGTGACGGTAGAGGCACAAAATGGCTGACATTGCAATGATAGGGGCACAAAATGGCCGATATTGTGATGATAAAGGGATAAAATGGCTGATATCGTGATATATCATGACGATAGAGGGATAAAATGGCTGCTATAGTGACAATAGAGGGATAAAATGGCTGATATTGCAATGATAGAGGCACAAAATGGCCGATATTGTGATGATAAAGGGATAAAATGGCTGATATCGTGATATATCATGACGATAGAGGGATAAAATGGCCAATATTGCAATGATAAAGGGATAAAATGGCCCCCTCCCATTCACCCCCGTGGGGGGGTTCCCCCCCCAGGCCCGGGCATGGGCTCCCCCCTGGCGGTGGTGGCGGCCGTGGCGCGGACGCTGGCGCAGCTCTGGGGGCGCCCCCTGCTGGCCGTCAACCACTGCGTGGGGCACATCGAGATGGGGCGCGCCCTCGGCCCCGCCCCCGACCCCCTCGTGCTCTACGTCAGCGGCGGCAACACCCAGGTGGGGGCGGGGCCCATGTCGCGACGTATCGCGGCGGCGGGGGGGCGATATCGCGGGGTATCGTGACGATAGAGGGACAAAATGGCGGCTATCATGAGGATAGAGGGACAAAATGGCTGACATTGCAATGATAGGGGCACAAAATGGCCGATATTGTGGTGATAAAGGGATAAAATGGCCGATATCGTGATATATCATGATAATAGAGGGAGAAAATGGCCGATATCGCGAGGGTAGAGGCACAAAATGGCCGCTATCGTGACAATAGAGGGACAAAATGGCTGATACTGCAATGATAGGGGGATAAAATGGCGGATATTGCGATGATAAAGGGATAAAATGGCCGCTATAGTGACAATAGAGGGATAAAATGGTCAATATTGCAATGATAAAGGGATAAAATGGCCGCTATAATACTGCAATGATAGGGGGATAAAATGGCGGATATTGCGATGATAAAGGGATAAAATGGCCGATATCGTGATATATCATGATAATAGAGGGAGAAAATGGCCGATATCGCGAGGGTAGAGGCACAAAATGGCCGCTATCGTGACAATAGAGGGACAAAATGGCTGATACTGCAATGATAGGGGGATAAAATGGCGGATATTGCGATGATAAAGGGATAAAATGGCCGATATCGTGATATATCATGATAATAGAGGGAGAAAATGGCCGATATCGCGAGGGTAGAGGCACAAAATGGCCGCTATCGTGACAATAGAGGGACAAAATGGCTGATACTGCAATGATAGGGGGATAAAATGGCGGATATTGCGATGATAAAGGGATAAAATGGCCGATATCGTGATATATCATGATAATAGAGGGAGAAAATGGCCGATATCGCGAGGGTAGAGGCACAAAATGGCCGCTATCGTGACAATAGAGGGACAAAATGGCTGATACTGCAATGATAGGGGGATAAAATGGCGGATATTGCGATGATAAAGGGATAAAATGGCCGATATCGTGATATATCATGACGATAGAGGGATAAAATGGCCAATATTGCAATGATAAAGGGATAAAATGGCTGATATCGTGATATGTCACGACGATAGAGGAATAAAATGGTCAATGTTGCAATGATAAAGGGATAAAATGGCCGATATCGTGATATGTCACGATGCTAGAGGGATAAAATGGCCACTATAGTGACAATAGAGAGATAAAATGGTC